AGTGTGGATCTTGAGAAATCTCTGAAGACCAGTGCCATGCACAGAGGCTTGGCCCTCCTGTGCTGGTACCAAAGGCAGCGCAACTCTGCAGTTTCATTTCTAAAATGAAAGGGAGCTTTTGGCCCTATGTTCAGGGGTGAAAGTAATATTTAATTCTTACTGGTACGGGGGCCAGCTCCAGCCCTCGGAAGGGGCGGGGCCTTGGGTGGAAGGGGCGGGGCTGGGGGATGGGTCAGCTTTCCCCAGTCAGCCCATCCATGCTGCCTGGCCCCCACCGTCCGGGGCTCCGGTGGTGATTTAAAAGGGCCCAGGAGAGTAGGGTGGGGTGGGGGCAAAAGGAGCAATGACATGATTAACATGGGCAGCGTACGGACTGGTATCAGCTTCTTACCAGTACGTCGTACCAGCCTGTACCAGTCCACTTTCACCCCTGCCTATGTTTAACATGTCATTCTGTCAACAGATTATTGAACAGTCATGTTAGAGTCATAGAGTCATAGACTTTAAGGTCAGAAGGGACAATTATGATCATCTAGTCTGACTTCCTGCACAATGCAGGCCACAGAATCTCACCCACCCACTCCTGTATCAAACCCCTGACCTATGCCTGAGTTACTGAAGTCCTCGAATCATGGTTTAAAGACTTCAAGGTTTAATCCTCCAGCAAGTGACCCGTGCCCCACGCTGCAGAGGAAGGCGAAAACCCACCAGGGCCTCTGCCAATCTGCCCTGGAGGAAAATTCCTTCCCGACCCCAAATATGGCAAACGGCTAAACCCTGAGCATGTGGGCAAGGCTCACCAGCCAGACACCCAGGAAAGAATTCTCTGTAGTAACCCACCCCATCTAACATCCCATCATAGGCCATTGGGCATATTTACCGCTAATAGTCAAAGATCAATTAATTGCCAAAATTAGGCTATCCCATCATACCATCCCCTCCATAAACTTATCAAGCTTAGTCTTGAAGCCAGATATGTCTTTTGCCCCCACTGCTCCCCTTGGAAGGCTGTTCCAGAACTTCACTCCTCTGATGGTTAGAAACTTTCATCTAATTTCAAGTCTAAACTTCCTGAAGGCCAGTTTATATCCATTTGTTCTTGTGTACACATTGGTACTGAGCTTACATAATTCCTCTCCCTCCCTGGTATTTATCCCTCTGATATATTTATAGAGAGCAATTTATAGAGACCAGAAGTGCTATAGAAATGCTAACGTAGTTCCTATTTTTAAGAAAGGAAAAAAAAGTGATCTGGGTAACTACAGGCCTGTTAGTTTGACATATGTAGTATGCAAGGTCTTGGAAAAAAAATTGAAGGAGAAAGTAGTTAAGGACATTGAGGTCAATGGTAATTGGGACAAAATACAACATGGTTTTACAAAAGGTAGATTGTGCCAAACCAACCTGATCTCCTTTGAGAAGGTAACAGATTTCTTAGACAAAGGAAATGCAGTGGATCTAATTTACCTCGATTTCAGTAAGACATTTGATATGGTTCCACATGGGGAATTATTAGCTAAATTGGAAAAGATGGGGATCAATATGAAAATTGAAAGGTGGATAAGGAACTGGTTAAAGGGGAGACTACAACCGGTCATACTGAAAGGTGAACTGTCAGGCTGGAGGGAGGTTACTAGTGGAGTTCCTCAGGGATCGGTTTTGGGACCAATCTTATTTAATTTTTTTTTTTTTTACTGACCTTGGCACAAAAAGTGGGAATGTGCTAATAAAGTTTGCGGATGACACAAAGCTGGGAGGTATTGCCAATACAGAGAAGGACCGGGATATCATACAGGAAGATCTGGATGACCTTGAAAACTAGAGTCATAGTAATAGGATGAAATTTAATAGTGAAAAGTGCAAGGTCATGCATTTAGGGATTAATAACAAGAATTTTTGTTATAAGTCGGGGACGCATCAGTTGGAAGTACCAGAGGAGGAGAAGGACCTCAGAGTATTGGTTGATCACAGGATGACTATGAGCCGCCAATGTGATATGGCCATGAAAAAAGCTAACGTGGTCTTGGGATGCATCAGGCGAGGTATTTCCAGTAGAGATAAGGAGGTGTTAGTACCGTTATACAAGGCACTGGTGAGACCTCATCTGGAATACTGTGTGCACTTCTGGTCTCCTATGTTTAAGAAGGATGAATTCAAACTGGAACAGGTTCAGAGAAGGGCTACTAGGATGATCCGAGAAATGGAAAACCTGTCTTATGAAAGGAGACTAAAAAAACTTGGCTTGTTTAGCCTAACCAAAAGAAGGCTGAGGGGAGATATGTTTAGTTCTTTGTTGCCCCAGGGCCAGCTCCAGGGTGGTTGAATGTTCAAAGCTCTGAATTTCCAAGTGGGTACTAACAGAGACCCATAGCTGCAGTCTTTTCCAGTGCAAAACTCCTCAGCAGGCGTGACAGGGCCTGACGATTGCAATCAAATAACTTGATCATCTGTGAAAAGTAATATTTGTGTGCTTTATTGCAAATCTTTAAAAATATTTAGCATCTAATCCTTTCCTTTTCAGACAGTTTAGCTGGCTCCAGAAGGACCGTCAGGCTTATGGGAATCCTCAGGTGGGGTAGATGCCCTGAACTGTCATCTCTCCACCTGGCAAAGATGGTGCAGTTGGTGCAATTGCAGTTGCTGGTGCAATGATCCATGGCTTCTGGAATGGTGTCTAGGGGTCATTGGCAGCTGTGACAGTGCTGCCAGTAGGAGCCAGCTGAGGTCACTCAATCAGGGTGAACTGGAAACAAAACGGGGCAGACAAATCCCAAATGTTGGTGGATATTCCAATACTTAGATTTACCAAGCCAGCACAAAACAACTTCTATAGTACCTCACTGGTTACTTAGAAGTCCAAACCACGCAGTTCCCTTAAAGTGCCCTGCCTCAGGCCTCCGTCCAGACACACCTGTCAAACATATGATGATGATTACTGAAAATTTTATCTCATCATATAAAATAAAAGGTTCTTCCAATCCCAAAGGATCAGCCACATACCCAGGTTCAATTACAACTTAGATCTTACCCAAAATACACGCTTATAGCCAATTCTTATTAACTAAGCTAAAATTTATTAAAAAGGAAAAGGGAGAGAGTGTTGGTTAAAAGATCAATATACATACAGACTTGAATTCAATTCTTGAGGTTCAGATACATAGCAGAGGTGAGCTTGTAGATGCCAAAAGTCCTTTTAGATATAGTCCACAGGTTATAGTCCAATGTCCATATTCAGGGTGGCTCCCGTCAATGACTGGGGATCTCAATCTTTGTGGCTTAAGGTTTCCCCTTCTTGAAACCCAAAGCAGATCTGAGATGAAGAAGTATTATGTCCCATTGGTTCTTATACATTTCCAGCAGCCTTTCGGTCTGAGAAAACAATAGGCTTAATTCTCCTTCCAAACATCCTAGCAATTAGCACAGGGTAATTTATCCAGTAAACAGTTCAGATACAGGTTACCACAATCTTCAAAGAGACATATAGCCAATAATACTATTTCACTCAAGTATCATCATAAATGTTAATATTCCTTTTTTGATCTTTGAATTTAAAACTATAGCAATAGACAAAACTTGTTTGCTTACATCACAAGCCGGGAGCAAACATCTACCCTTTTACCTCTAACAATGCAGACTTGCATTTCAAAGCTCTATTCATTTACATATCTTCCTAACCAGTTTCTACAGTTCACCCATGGGTCAGGTCAGTCTGAGTTAATTAACTCTTTCTGGCCCTGTCACCTTTCAGTGAAATATTATTTTACACTCATAACATCACAGCAGCTAGTGCAATTACACCAGGAGACTGGCTCAGTGCTGAGCAGTCTCAAGAGCTGGGAATTCAAAGATGGCTCAAAGCCACTTTTCCACAAACACTCTTTCCTGAATCGCACTGAGTACTCCTCTGCCGGAGCCCATTATTAGAGCTTCAGTGCCTTTGACAGACAGGAAGTGCACTGCGGTTCAGAATTTGCTAATATGACAGTCCATTAGGGAAGGTTAGCATGAGAATGACTCCATTACTGTGTGTCCATACACATCTTATTTTTCTCACTGGCCACAGACAGTCAAGTGGCCCCGTCTGGCTGGTGAATTTAGGATTGGGCCTCTCCAATTTTTGATTAGGCTGGAGATGTGTGTGATGGATAGGCAGGGGAGGGGCCCCGGTCTGGAAATGCATGTAATGGGGGGCGGGGAGCGGAGGGCCTTAGTCTGGAGATGCAAGTGATGGGTGGGCAGGCTGTGTATGTGACGGGTGGGTGGGGGGCCCTAGTCTGGAGATGCATGTGACGGGGGGCAGGAGATATATGTGATGGGCAGATGAGGGGGTCCCTACCCTGGAGTTGTGTGACAGGCGGACGAGAGGGGTCCCTACCCTGGAGCTGTGTGTGACAGGCGGACGAGAGGGGTCCCTAGCCTGGAGCTGTGTGTGACCGGTGGACAAAGGGGGCCCTACCCTGGAGCTGTGTGTGACGGGGGGGGGGTGCTACCCTGGAGCTGTGTGTGACGGGGGGGGGGTGCTAGCCTGGAGCTGTGTGTGACGGGGGGGGGGTGCTAGCCTGGAGCTGCGTGGGACGGGGGGCGGGGGGTGCTAGCCTGGAGCTGTGTGTGACGGGCGGACGGAGGGGGGACTTTACCCTGGAGTTGTGTGTGACGGGACCTGCTCCCGGCGGGTGACGGGGACTCGGGGAGGACGAAGCCGAGCTCTGCCGGGGCGCTCGGGACCAGGCTCCGCGCGGCCAAGGCGCTGCTCTCCCGGTCCCCAGCAGCATCCAGGCCGGGCCGAGTGGCTCCCCCCATGGCAGCGGGCTCCGCCCCTGAGTGCCGGGCGCGGGAAGGGAGCCGCGCTGCGGAAGCGGCGGGCGGCTACAGGTTGCCAAGGAAGCGGCTGCGGCTCCCTCTTCCCGCGGGGAGAAAGAGCGGGACGGCCCTGCGGGGAGGCTGGTAACGTCTCCGGGGAATCCGGCGGGGCAGGGCCTGGGCGGGGCGTGGCAAGGCCCGCGGCGCTGCTTGGCGGCTCAGGGTCGTGGCCGGTAGCGGCGGGGCAGCGCTGGGGGAAGGTGCCTGGGCACTGCCCGGGGCAAGGGGAGCTGCTTGGCGGTGACCTGTAGCGCCGGTGTAGTGCCTGCCCCTTTCCCGTCCCCTCCCACTCAGGGTGGGGGATCTTGCGGCCAGGCTTTGCCCTGGCGGGCCTCCCTCCCTACCCTTTATGTCAGTTACAGTCAGTAGCCCTCCGTTTTGGGGGGTTATTTAACTTTTGTGCAATGAATGTGTGAGTGGTCGGGGCCAAGTAAACAATAAGTGCTAAATAAATATCCTTGCAACCCATGTTTACTAAGTATTGACTCTGGCCAGTAATTTCACTCAGGGTCATTTGGAAACCTCATTCTTGTTGTGGGTCTAGGTTGTGTTCATCCTGCTTTTTGTTGCATTTTATATTTGACTGAACTGAGGTACCAGTGATCCTTTAACTAATGTGCCTTCCTTTACCAGCTTGCTTTTCTATTATTTTTGGTACAGTGATGGCAATGTAGATAGATGTTTTTATCTCAACTTTTAATCTTTTTGCAGAATTAAGACAGAATGTTGTCATCTGTGCACAGACAAGATAACGATATTCCATCAGAGCTGCATGTTCAACAAAAGTTGCCTTCTCCTGATGTTGCTGAGGTAAGTCAATTCATACTAATTTTCAGGGCTGCGGGGCCTGGGCGGAAGTGACCGATTCATCTCTTCCGGGACCGACCAATCACTCACAGTGGCCCGTGGGGCCCCCCAAAGCACGGGGCCCGGAGCAGTTGCCCCCATTCGCCCTACCCAAGGAACGGTTCTGCTAATGTGTTACTGATGTATGAGCATTTGCTGCAAAGAAGAGTAATCTATGTACTTTGTTACTGATTAGACCAGGGTAGGCAAACTTTTTGGCCCAATGGCCACATCCGCGTTGCAAAACTGCATGGAGGGCCGAGTAGGGAAGCCTGTGCCTCCCCAAACAGCCTGGTCCCTGCCCCTATCTGCCCCCTCCCACTTCCCGCCCCCTGAGGACCCCCAACCCATCCAGCCCCCCTGCTCCTTGTCCCCTAACCACCCCCTTCTGGGACCCCCACCCCAACCACCCCCAGGACCCCACCCCCTATTCAACCCCCCCTGTCCTCTGACTCCCCCCCCAACCTCCGCCCCATCCAATCGCCCCCTGCTCCCTGTCCCGACTGCCCCTGGGGACCCCCTGCCCCTAACCAGCCCCCTTACCATGCTGCTCAGAGCAGCAGAAGCTCGCAGCCAGCCACACCGCCCGCGCTGCCCAGCAGGAGCGGCGGGCCAGAGGATGCGGCGAGGTGAGGCTGAGGGGGAGGGGCCAGGGACTAGTTTCCCCGGCCGGGAGCTCAGGGGCCGGGCAGGACGGTCCCGCAGGCTGTAGTTTGCCCACCTCTGGACTAGACCCTGGCTTCAAATCAAACTTTAAATTTTGCTTCCTATCTCTAGACAGTAGAAAGAAGGGATGCATTTGGGGTTTGAGGGAGTTTTGTGCCCAATTCCCCTTGAAAAAAAATCAATGGGAGCCATGTATCTAATCCCCTAGGCACTTTTGAAGAGTCTACTCTTGCTGTTTAGGAATGGAGTGCAATGCTAATAAAGGATATATGTAGGATAATTCATTAAGTGAGTTAGGGCAAGTCTACGTTACAGCACTACATCGGCGCAGCTGCACCGCTGTAGCACACCTAGTGAAGAGACACTGCGCTGGCGGGAGTGAGCTCTCCCTTTGGCATAATTACTCCACCTCTGCAAGAAGCGGAAGCTATGTTTGTGGGAAAGTGTCTCCCACCGACATAGCGCCAGTGTGAACTTGTGTCGCTCTGAGGCTGCTTTTTCATATTCCTGAGCGACGTATCTTAGATCAACTCAAGCAGCAGTGTGGACCTGCCCTTAGACAAGTGTTCGTTGGAAGCTGCTTGGTCACATCTCAAGCCACTGGGAAATAAATTCAGAGGGGAAGAAGAGAAAAAGGGGGTTAGAATAGAGGATATTATGTGGAAGACTTCTGCGTTTGTTTATGAGAGTGTATGAATATGCTACACGTTTACTAAGAGAAGCTAAGTTCTTAAAAGAAGATTTATGCAAGTTTGGAGGGATCCTATATCCTAATTAAAGGCTACCTCTAAAAATTACATACTGAAAAAATGGATAAATTCTAGTTTGTGCTTCTTTGGCTCTGGATGAATTAGGATAAATTAAATGCTGTGCTAACCCTCCCAAGATGCTGCATAGAAGGAATTTGACTAATCTCAGTCTTAGATTTTGGTGCTTAGTTGTGCAATGTGTAAATATAGCAAAAATATTTTCATAGCAATATTAACTTGAGAACATATGAAAATTATTTGCATTCAACACACATGGAATGTAATGTATTAAGCCTCGGTATCAATATATTTTATAGAACTTACTTAACAAGTTTACATCAAATTAAATTCTTGCAAATTTACTTGTTAGAACCAATGGAGACTTAATTCACTCTTACGACTGGAACTGGGGCACTTAAATTAGTATTTGGTTAGATGGTTTCAGTAAATGCTTATGAATTTTAATTTTGTTACTGTTTTGCTGTACATATTTATATCACTCTAGAAAAAAAATCTATTCCTCCTGCAACTAAGCACCCTTTATAACTTGCATCATCAGTCAAAGAATCAGTTTACAATTATTATTAATTAAAACTTCAGACTGGAACTATTATAAATTCATTGAGTATAAGATCTTTTAGAAAAACATTCTATCCGGATTAAAATAGTAACAGTGATGGAGAATTTGCTACAGCCTTTGATGTGTTGTTCCAATGGTTAATTACCCTCACTGATAATAATTTGCACCTTATTTCTAGTCTAAATTTGTCTAGTTTCAACTTCCAACCATTGGATTTTGTTATACTTTCATCTGATAGATTGTATTTCTAATATTAAATTTCTGTTCCCCATGTAGGTACTTAACAGACCTATTAAGTCTCTTAATCTTCTTTTTGATAAGCTATATAGCTCCTTATGTCTTTCACTAAAAGGCACATTTTCCAGCCCTTTAATCATTCTTGTGGTTCTTCTCTGAATCATCTCCATTTTACCAACCTCCTTCTTGAATTGTGGACACCACGGCGCCTCCTGCTGGTCAGTCCGGGAATTAACTCATCCAGCCTTGGAGCACCTCCTGCTGGCCGGTGTCTCTTCTGCTGTCGCTACTTGTCTTTTTATTCTCAATCTCCACCACTATACTTCAGGCCCCACGTCCCTCCCGGCCTGCGGTGCCCCTTTTCCTGTGTACTGCCCCGCAGCAGTGGCCCCCACACTCGGGGTCCTCCCCTCCCCCGGGAACCCCAATCCCCTAAGCCCACTTCGTCTCAGTGACCCACTGCCAGTCCTCATCTAGCCCCTTCCCTCAGGGGCAAACTGCAGTCTGAAGTGGCCACTCATCATCGGCAAGGGGGTTGGACTGGTTGCTTCTTCCTTCTTTGGCTGCTCCCCACAGCCCCAGTACTTTCTCAGGCCTTGGAAGTAAAGCCTAAGTCTGGGAGTTTGCCAGGCTGGAGCTCCTCAGCTCCTGCTCTTCCCACAACTGCTCTGTCCAGGTACCCCCTTCTGCTTGCAGGTAGCCAGTCTTTGCCTCTTCAAGGCTGGAGAAAGACTGACAGCCTTCTGGCCCTGCAGCCCTTTTATAGGGTACAGCCTGGCCCTGATTGGCTGCCTCCCAGTCTTCTCTGATTGGCTCTCAGCCCCAGCTCTCCCCAACGTCTGGCTTTTAACCACTTCTGAGCCAGAGCGAGTTGACTGCCCCGCTACACCTTTGACTTCTCTAACCCTATGGAGGTGAACTGGAGACAGCCTTTCAGTGTAAGATCAATCAAGACTCCAACCCACAACCACCGGTATTGTTGTCAAGTGCATTAACCACTTAGCCACTGCACCTCATTTTTTATATAAATACATTATGTATATCACCTCCCCTCTAAACCAGGTTGTTTTTTAAGCAGTATAGCCTTCTTATTTGTGGGATTGTACCTTTTTTTGGCATCTAGTAAAATGTTTTTAAACAACTACCAATTATCCTTCACATTTTCCTGTGTAAATTGCTTCCTCAACTGATTTGGCTCATAATTGTTTTCAGCTTTATATAATTGGCCCTTTTAAATCCTTATGACTGGCTTGGACTTCATTGTCTTTGTATGCAACAAATGTAATCAAGTCACAATCACTTGCATCTATGGAAATGCTAATTTTTAGTTCTGCAATCTATTCCTCCTGTCAAGATGAGGTCTTTTATAGAATTCCCCTGTGTTGGGTGTAACACTTTTGGAATTAAAAAATTGTCCTCTATAACTTTTAGAAATTCAGAGAACGTTTTCGTTCTAGCAGCATAAGACTTCCAGCATATGTCATTCAGATTGAAGTCCCCTTTGAAATGTAAACCTGTGGAAAAACAAAGAAATGAAAATGGGAAAAATAGAAGTTAGATGTAAAATTTCACATTATAACGAGATGTAAATAAGTGTGATGTTATTGTCTAGTTATTAAGAGTCTGATGCTAAATTCTCAGTTTTCTCAATTCTTACCTCCTATTACGTCACAGGGTAGGGCCTTTAGTAATGATGGAAATAACAGATGAAAATGATGATTTAGTTCGTCCTGAAAATTTTTCTGGAGTATTTCTACTTAATAAAGAACATAAATTGTTTTATCTTGAGATGTCTCTTAGGCTCAGGTGGCAGGTAAGGATAGCAAGCCTAGCAATGAGTAGTACCAATTGTTACATAATTCTCAATATTGTTGTTGTAGGGAACAAGACATGCACTACCTATTACACCTGGAGAAGCAGCAAAACTCTGTTCATTGATTCAGTCCTGTGAAGATTTTTTTAGAATCAGAAAAGTCAACCAACATGGAAAATATTTTACTGGTCTAAGCAGACCAAGTAGGGAATTGTGGAAGACCTAAAAATAGTATCAGTATGAGGCTGACATTCTTAAGCCTTTCTTGCACTTCTGTTGGCATTAGAGATATTTGCACATTTGTTTTTAACCGCCTTGCATTAAATAATTTCCTGCTAAATTGGAAGGAATTCATAGAATGATGTGTGCGAAAGCATAAAGAAAATTCTACTTAATTCCTGACTAGCTGCAAATTCCTGTAGGGTGGGACTTTCAAAGGATCATCAGGGAGTTAAGCACACTATTCCCTTTTGAAATGAAATAGGATTTGGTCGCCTAACTTTCTTTGGCTCCTTTAGAAATCCCAGCTGGATTGTTTTCTATACATTTTTAAGAAGCTAATAATTAAACTATGTGGCCTTAATGCTAAATTTGTTGCTATGATAACTATCATCAGAAACATCCTTCTTTCTGCCCATTTGTACAAGTAAATAATCTGGATTCTGGACTTCCATTTTTCTCACTGTGATGGTAATATGCTTGATCTTCAGAGTATAACATCCACTATTAGCTGTTTTACAGCATTGGACAAGACTTCTTACATAAATACTAAAGAAAGTAGGAGAAAAGTATGTAGAGAAATAGGTTATTGGGGAGAAAATTGGTACCATCTTTTAATTCCATTCTATTTCCCATAATAAAAGGGATGATGGACATTTGAAATAACCTTCTAAAATAATTCTGGCCCCATATTCTGGTTTGTTATCTGGTGATAGATAATCTTTTGATTAAGCTTTGATTGTTATAGGTAGAAAATATGTCTTGAAATAGTTGGGAAGAAGATAAAGACTGAAATAAAATAAAATGTTTGTAAGTTTTCAGCATGCATGGAGGAGGAAACCTTGAAGCAGAATTGGAGTTCATTTACCAAAGTTATGGATAAACATCAGACCAAGCTGAAAGAACTGTCACCACAGCTCAAAAGCAGATCACAGGAAAACTTCCTAGAACAAAACCTGAGTGAAAGTGAAATGAGATGGTATGCTTCAGACTGGGAAAAATACAATTACAGAATTTCATGAGACCAACAGTCTTTCATCTGTTCCTACAGCATTTATTTGTGCTTCTTTAGCTGTTCAAATCCACACAATATGTTCAAAACATAAATATTTATCTTCTGTGGGTGCAATTCATGCCTGGGCAGAGGATTCATTTAAGGCTTTGTGTTTTGACAACATAGGGGCTTATGTAGGTCCTCTGAACAGAGATTAATTTCACCCTATAATAGGGAACTTTTTGAAAATCCCACCCTGCCTGTGTTTGCAACCCAAACACTGCTGCATATTGTACTAGTTCATGAGACCCTGCAAGTGAGATTGTTTAGTCTTATTTTCACTCCCCTGGCTGAGTGAAATACAAAAAGCAAACAGCTTAATTAGTGAAAAGTACATTTGATTTTTAGAAGTTCATGATACAGTCATCTAAGGAGTTATTGGTAAAACTTAAAATAAACTTTGCTTTAAACCTTTTTTTTTTTTAATAGGGTAAATCCCAAAGTTCCTACTTCTGCTGGCTTTAGAGGACATAGAATGCAGCAGCAAGAAAGTGTTCCCAGAAGTGTTCAGTGTAAATAATTTATCATATGCAAAGGAAAGGGAAGGAGTTGTAGCCTGCATATTAAGGGAACACTACAGGCCAAATTCTGAGGTTCTTACTCAGAGAAAACTTGAGAAAATTCTGCCTTTGGTTAATAAATATTTGTGAAATGGAAAAGTTTATTTATATTTATATATATTAAACATGTATAGTTAGTGCAATTTGATTTCTATTAAGTTCTTCTTGTGAATAGGTTGAAAGAAGATGAAATTGCCACATTACAAGAAAAGATTCTTGAAGCAGAGATGGCAATCAGTTCAACAGAAATGTTTTTGCCTTCATTTAAAGTCACTATTGCTGGAATGACAAATGTAAGTTTCTGTATTTTGCTGTATTTTAATACTATACAAAAATTTGTGTACATATTTACTCTCAGAACTCTAACTGGGATATGCTGTACAGTTTTTTTTTTTTTGCTCCACCCATTTCTGCAGAATTAAACATTTATTGTAAAAAACCTTAAATGTCTAACTCATATGGTTGATTAGAAAAGCACTCTAAATGTTGACTGATGTGATATCTGAGTGCAGACATACATCTTTAAATAAGAGCTTTGAGGGGTCCAAATGTTTGTTTTCATCTCACATGAATGTTAATTCTGAACCCTAATGTTGTCAGTTTAAAAGTCAACATTCTGAGCTATTGCACTGCTGATCATTTTAGCAGAAACATATAGCTACTTGTGTATTCTGGGTTTGTGAGCAGAACTTGAGTACATTTGCATCTTCTTGCCCAATTGTAACCTTGTTTATACACAATATTGTACAGTAGATATATTGTTTACTATGATTTTAAAAAAATCTTCAAATGAAGTTTTTGATGTCTGTAACCTGTTGAGTACAAATACATTATTACTATTTAAGTTTATAAAACAAAACAAATATTATTCTAGGAGTCAAGATATCTTGATTTTTTGCATTCCCTCATGGTTAATTTGTTTAAAAATTGCCATTGGGAATTCACACTTTTCTGTACAACAGAGTTAACATTTCCAATAGTACTTCAATTTCTCTCCAGATAGAAATATCATGAATACATATGTGCAAATCAGGATGAAATAACTTCTGTGATAGTACTTACTAAAAGGTCTGCTACCTGATTGTCCTTTGTTATTTTTGGAGCAGCAAAATTAGTTTGATTTAAATGGATTTTCCCTTGAGAGTAGAAAATTGGGCCTTTTATCAGCAAAAAAGTTAAAATAGAAAGAGCATATGCTTGATCTCTCTCTTACAAACTTTGAAGAGTGAATATTGAATTGTGTAGTATTTCATACCAAAATGTTTAAATCCTAATCTAAACAGTATTTTGCATATTCATTATCATATTTTGCAGTGTACTTAGAAAAATAGTTTTATGGTTTCGATATGTTAAAGCTAAATTTTAATAATGGTAATTGTGCTGTTTTGGGGAAATATTGTAGTATACTTACGGTATATTTGTTTGTGGCTTAATATTTTATCAGGTGTGTAACCTTTCTACATCAGATATGATTAAGATTTCTAAACAAGAGGATTTACTGATAAAGGAACTAGAGACTCTCAAACACATAAAAGGATTATTACTACACCTACTTAGAACAACAGAGCATAAAGAAGTAAGATGACCCAAAGCAATCTTGGGGTGGTTTAACAGTGAGCACGAACACATTTTTTTTTCCTGATCTTTTTCAGTAGTGTTTTCAAAGAAAGGAAGCAATAGCCAGTCACAGAAAATGCAGAATTATAGTATTTCAAATATTCTTTATTGTCCAAATCAACCCCAGATTGTGTGGAAGTTCAGCCTATTTTGAGAAATCTATGTTATGCTATGCTTGTATAGTATTGTAAATATCACAGATACTTTCCTTTCATGTATATGTTAGTCTTTAAGCACAATATTTGCTGAATAAGACAGAATAGGAATTGCTTGACTTCAAAAAGATATATTAAATTTTTAATAAAAAGCAGATGAGAGAAGACGTGTTTCTTCTTTATTCTGGAGCCTGTATATATAGAATAATCAGGAGGGAGAGGAAGTTTTAAAAAGGAAAAGACAAACAAACAGAGAACGGCAATTGATAAATAATAGGGAGGCAGAGAAAGAAGAAAAGTGAAGAAATATAGAGAGCATTATATTACAATAGTGGTGTGATTATCTCTTTGTGTTTGAATACCTGCAATTCACAGGTGTTTGTATTCAAACAAAACCAAACATACATAAGCAGTGAATTCCTAAAGTGGACATTGTACATGTGTGCTCTGGCTCTGTTCAGAATGATCTGTAAGGCTTCCCTCTCACTGATGAGCCAGAGTACATCATGCTTCTAAAATCCAGCAGAGTGCACTCTGCAAATACCAGTGCAGAGAATGCAGCTCTCATTTGCTTTTCCCCTTGCTACTTTTCCCTGCTTTCCGATCCATCTGTAGTTTGACACCCAACTTGCTAGCTATCTCCTTCCTATAATTCAGTATTCATATTGGGCCTGGTCCTATAACATGCTGAGTTATCTAAACTTCCTTGGAAGTCAGTGAGCCCATTCTCTGAAATTAAAAAGTCTGGGATTTACTTAACTGGAAGTTCCATCAATTAGGGTAAAAAGACTAATTGATAAAATAAGGACAACTTTGACTGCCAAATTATGTAATTGATGATTGTGTGATAGTTATGGCTATATAAATGGTTTTGCCATTCCAAGTTTATTTATATTTGTGATAGAAGTTAATATTGTGGGATATTAGATTTTGGGGTCTGGAGATAATCTTAGCTGCCATCAAACAATATTTTCAGAAACACTTAAGGAAATGCTTCACTTTGTCTTTAAAATAGATGAATGGAATACACACTTGACCTTTAGGCTACTATTTGAACAAGGAAAATTAAATAAGCATGGCATGTAAGTGCTTCCATTTAAAAAATAATCAGTGTTACATATAGAATTAATCTTGGTTTATTTTCCCCTATTCATAAGCTCCGCACATAGAATGAATAGAATCTCTTAAGATATTTCCCACCAATTGTATATAATCATGCATGTCAAAGTAAATATCTCCTTGCTGTTGGTATTTCATATGTATCAGTCTCCATTCTGAGTACACTGAATCCGCAAGTTCCATATACTGTAAAATAATTAATTTTAAAATATTGGTTGTTTTTTCTATTTTGAACATGCAGATAAGCAGTAAACAAATTGACATTTTGATGCAGAAGTTAACTGAAAGTGAAACTGAAAATGATGTAAGTAAATTACACTTTCTGGCTCCTTACTCTATCAAGGCATGCCAAAACAGTGAAATCCCAGTCTCATACAATTCCACTAGGCAACTGCCAGACCTAGGATCAGGAAGACTGCTTGGTCTTTCTGTCTTGCACTCACATGTATGTGTATGTGTATATTGATATACTTGCCTGGCTTCCACCCAATTTCCATCATTTTGTTTCTTCCTTACCCATTTGACTAGTGAGATTTTTCAGGAGTATGGTGTCACGCTTATTACACAGAGTTTAATGTGCTGTATATTACCCTATATTCAGCATGGGCCAGTTTCTGATGTTGTTCACCAGTGTAATTCCAGAGTAACTTTAATGGAAATGCTACTTATTTATACTGGTGTAACTGAGAAGAATGTCTAGCTTTGTTTCTCTAAGACCAGATGTTACTTTTGCTTCGATGTTATGGTTATTCAAGAGCATTGCCTTTTTATTCTGACATAAATCGATAGGCAGTGTAAGGGAGGGAAAAGCTGTGAATTCGTTGCCCCCCAAAATTACCATTTTTGTTATAGTTTATGTAATGTTTCCATTCCATCATGAGGTCGCATTCCTGCCCAGATGGTAGCTATCGTAATCAGGCTACACAGTTTTGAGAAAGCAGATGGAACTAAACGTTTGTAAACCCTCCAAATCATTCCCCCAAATATGCCATTTGCCACAAATGAGAAAATAAAGGGCAATATGGTATCCAAGTACCTAAATCTTCAGAAAGGTGAATCCAGACAGTTAACTCCTTGAAAGCAATGATAAGAGAAGTTTTAACTATTTTGGTGCAACTTCAGTATTACAAAGAAATGTAAAATTCCACCAGTATCTTTTTTTTTAAATAATTTTAAAACAAAGTAATTGGAAGTTGAAGTTCAATTTACCCCAGTACTGAGAAGGAATAACAAGATGCTTAGCTGAAAAGCATGATACAGTGTAAATATCTCATGTAGCATGTATTATTATCCTCATTTTATAAATGGGGTAAATTGAGGTCCAAGGTGGTGTTAATGACTTGTCCAAGGCCAAAAAATATAACCCAAATCACTTTATTCCTAATCTGAGCAGAAATTGACTACATTGGAATTGGAATGCTATCAGATTTAAAAGAGCTATTTATTTTTATTTTTTTTCACAACCCAGGAAATCTGATACTCAGTAGTTAAGGCAACCTGAACTATAGGTGTCAGTACAAGGGCTGCTTATGGAACATTTCCTGTCTGGGGGAGGGACAGAATATGGCTGTTATGTCTGAAAACCATTCAGCCAACACATTTTCCTTCAACAGAGATTAAATCCTTAAGCTTAATTTCCGGTGAAGACCAAATAACCTTTACAATTAGGAGCTCCTCTCTCAGAAGTAACATTACTTTTACTTTGTTCACAAATATTTCATAGAATCATAGAATATCAGAGTTGGAAGGGACCTCAGGAGGTCATCTAGTCCAACCCCCTGCTCAAAGCAGGACCAATTCCCAGCTAAATCATCCCAGCCAGGGCTTTGTCAAGCCGGGCCTTAAAAACCTCCAAGGAAGGAGACTCCAACCACCTCCCTAGGTAACGCATTCCAGTGTTTCACCACCCTCCTACGTGAAATAGTTTTTCCTGATATCCAACCTGGACCTCCCCCACTGCAACTTGAGACCCATTGCTCCTTATTTACTGGCTCTGTGTTTAGATTGGTTTTTGTTTTTTTTTACTCACCAGAGTAGCACCCCATTCTTGTTTAATTCCTTTTTCTGGCTTTTCCCTTATTGTCTGCTCTGTCTCCTTGCTCACTTGTGACCTCTTCAAACATAATTTTGAAAAAGCAGAATTTTCAAAACAATTTGATAAGTAAATGAAGTGTATGTGTATCCTTCAGTAATTTGACTTGCAGGAAATTGACAAAAAGAGTGTCCCAGAACAAATCCCTATAATACAAGCCAACATTGTACATCAGCTAAATTTAGGTACCCAATTATGTTGACTGTGCATCTGTACACTTAAATTAATGTCCCTGCTTTGAGACACTTTTGTTCTTATATTTAGGTGTACACTTTCTTTGCTTTTAAGCATCACCTTGAAATGTTTGTGCCACTGGAAATGAGAGCTCAGTTACCCTAATAAAGTATCCCTTTTACACAGGACCGGCTCCAGGGTTTTGGCCGCCCCAAGCAGCCACACACACAAAAAAAAAAAGAGTCGCGATCGCGATCTGCGGCGGCAATTCGGCGGAAGGTCCTTCGCTCCTAGCGGAAGTGAGGGATTGCCGCCGAATACCTGGACGTGCCGCCCCTCTCCGGAGCGGCCGCCCCAAGCACCTGCTTGAGAAGCTGGTGCCTGGAGCCGGCCCTGGGTGCACTGTTATGAAAATGTAGCCCAAAATGTGCATATGGAGACCTTTTCATTTTGTGTTCATTTTCCTTCATGAAGGGTCTCAGAAAAGAAACACTTGAAACAGAGAAGCATATTGTAGAGCTTTCTTCTCAGCTTCAACAGGAAAAAGTAAGTCATTTCCCCCCCTCAGAATGGATGTTTTATCTCAGTGTGCTAAATTCTTACCTTCAAATCTCCTAATTTTTCAAATTGTGAGAAGGGTAATATTTAATTTCAAACATTATATGAAAAGCTATTCCTGTGGGCCAGTGCTTCTCACAGAAGTGGACACATACCAGGAAGTTTGACTCCAGATGTTCTTTTTTGGATTGTGAACCATCCTCACCCCAGCCCCTCCAATGGTCAGTGTGAGGGATGGCTCCGAAGGGGGAGGTTGGTTTGGACCTGACTGTCATTTCTCATTTAAGATTAGGTTTAGGCTAATGTTGCACAAATGCATAAGGTAGAGAGGTAGGGTTGCCAAGTGTCTGGTTTTTGACCCCTCACCCTCTCCCGCACCCCAACCCTGTTCCCCAGCTCTGAGCCCCCTCCCACACCCAAACTCCGTCCCAGAGACTACACCCTGCTTCCCCTCCCGCACCCCACTCTCTTGCCCCAGCCCGGAGCCCCCTCCCACAATCCAAACCCCTCCGCCCTACCCCCACAGCCTGGAGCCCCCTCCTGCACCCCAAATCCCTCATCCCCAACCCCACCCCAGAGCCCGCACCCCCAGCTGGAGCCTCCTCCTGCACCCTGAACCCCCCATTTCTGGCCCCACCTCAGAGCCCACACCGCCAGCCAGAGCCCTCATCCCAACCCCATGGCCCAGCCCAGTGAAAGTATGCGAGTGAGTGAGCGTGGGGGAGAGTGAGCAACCGACGGATGGGGCGGGGGGGATGGAGTGAGAAGGGGTGGGGCCTCAGGGTAAGGGTGGGGTAGGGAGAGGGATAGCTTAGTGGTTTGAGCATTGGCTTGCTAAACCTAGGGTTGTGAGTTCAGTCCTTGAGGGAGCCACTTAGGGATTTGGGGCAAAATCAGTACTTAGTCCTGCTAGTAAAGGAAGGGGGCTGGACTCAATGACCTTTCAGGGTCCCTTCCAGTTCTATGAGATAGGTATATCTCCATATATTATTATATAAGGGTCTTCAGTTTTCTGCTATTAGAAAGTTGGCAATCCTATAGAGAAGAGAGTGCAAAAGCCCCCCTCCATTTTGCTTCTGTACAGGGGCTGTTCACAGTCACTCTGCTTGTGCTCTTTGAGTTCATCGCCCTCTGAAGGCTAGTGCTCTAGACAGTGCTAACCTCACCAAAATGTATAAATAAAGGTTCCTTTTACCTTCTGTACCAGACAAGGGAGGTGGTTCCATGCAAAGTGAGGGTGGGAGGAAAAGCACTGACTATACTCAATAAAAGGGGTAAAACAGCTCTTGGCAGTGCTTCGGTTGAGGGCATTATGCTTGAGTCCGGGTTTACAATCTATTTCATAATTACATTGTGTCTGTGCATGACTCACAGAATGTGTATACTACCATATGTTAGAAATCAATTATACCAAAAAAATAGAGAAATCTTCTTATGGCATATCTGTATAAATTAAAAGATTTGTGTTCATATCTTTTGCATAGGCAAATGCACTAAAAGCAGATCACCTATCAAAGTCAGTAGAAGCTGTACAAGCCCACCTGCAATGCCAGATTCAAAAAAAGGAGGCTGAGAATGATCAGTTGAAAGCAAAAATACAGGTTACAAATATTTTTCCTTTGGGTTTACTTTTAGTTCATTGGTAAATTAATAGAAGTATATTAGAGCCAGAGGGCCATTTTTAATTAGAAGTTGTTAGTCAAATCTTAAAATGTCACTTGCTATTATTAAATTAAATCCCTGGTATAGACAAATTAGAATAGAAAACCCCAAACCAGTAAAAATAATGGAAATAGATATTTCTTGAGAGCCATTTGGACAATGTTCTTAGTTACAAATGAATTTTACGAATGTTCAGAGCTTACACTATAGACACTCATAGAATGATGTATAAAGTATCCAAAGTAATGCCTTTATCCTGCAAACACTTACACATGTGCATATAAGGAGTCCCACTGAAGAGAATGCAACTATTCACATGTTTAAAGTAAACATGTATGGAAATGTTTGCAGGATCAAGGCCTAATAAAGGGATGCATAATTCAGTGTTAACAAACAGAGAAAGTTGACAGGAGTTGTCAGTGTTGAAAGACTGCAAGGGTGTGATCAGGTGGCTGCAAGGGAGGAGACAGACTAGCCACAGATTCTCTATAAGTATTTGAAATTTGCAAGGAAGGTGAAATTTAAGATTGAGCAGGTGAGTTGTCTTAAAAGTGGACTATCCCTATTACCTTTTATCTTCTTGAATTTACCTGATACCTTACCATCAATCTGTTGGTCAATTGCTTGTTATCTCATACACACAATAAAAAAAAAAATCTTTTATATGAATATAAGCCTCTGTTCACTTTCTCCAGCTTAGAATAATAATAATAAAAAGGCTGTTCACTCTTACTGAACAATATTGTGATAATGGTCTCTGCTGCACACACTTTCAATGGGCCAAACTTCAATCAGGACTGCTACTGCTGAAAATATAACCGCCAAGCTTGTTTTTTTATTTAAACTCATTCTTGCTTGTACACTAAATAATGACAATGACATTCACTAAAACCCTGTGTTAGCCGTACTTTATTCTCCCTTATTAAAGATGAGCTAATTTTGTTTGGCTCTTTTTATGGTCTGTGCTGTCTATAGGCCTGGCTGTCATGCCTGCTGGTTCTTTACCAGTTCAATTCATTCATCTACATACTAGATAACATAACTGAAATTAACTTCTTTGTCTACTACATATAGTATTGTTCTCTGCATACAGAATTATGGCTAACGGAGCCCAAACAAAGCAGCCGAGTAAATGGGCTTTGTGCAGGGTTCTTTTCCAGGGCAAAGTAGCATGGAATCCTACCCCACTGGCAATGGAGCACCAGTGGAGAGGCCACTTCTACAATTCATGGTCTGTGACAGCTTGCATAGGTGCTCTGTCATCTCACATCATATGCAGAGGGGAAGGTTTGGCCAGTTGATTTGTATAGTTAATTAAAAATTCCTAAAATAGAATTTCTTACTGGAGAAGGATAGAGCAGCATATCATTTTCATTTCATTTTAACTGAATCGCTAAGTAATTATTCGTGGTTGCTCCAAATCAGTTGTAACTAGCCAGATATTCAATCTTTTAAGCACAATTAAAGAAACTAGGGAAATTAATACAAGTTTGCAATATAATTTTAAAGGGGAAGGAGAGATTTTATATAATCTGAGGAAAGCTGAGGTTTGTAGTTAAGCTAAGCATTGTATGTGTATTAGCTGAACAAGTCAGAAAAATCAGTTGAAATCATTTTACATGCGTAATTTGGGTCTTTTGGTCACTCTCAAAGCCCTCGTAGAACAGTAGGAGTTGATAGCCATGATATGTGATATTGCAAAAGTAACTTGCCTAGATTAGTAATAAGGCTTGGATTTGACCTAGGACTCTGATGTTTGGGATATTAATGATCTCCTTATAAATACCATACAGACAAATATGCAGGTTTTTTGTGTTTAGACTTACTAGAATCTTACTCAACTACAAAGATAAACTCAATTGATAAGTTAATTATAGGAATTAATTAATTCTAACAGTGATTATACCTGTTTCTTGGTGGATATGATGTTCTAATAGTGCATATAAACCTTTGTAATGATGTATTTTTACACTTTGGAAAATAGGAATGAAAGTGATTTTAAAACAATATCACCGTGGAGGTTTCAGAGCAATGCCAAGTACTAACATTGTGTGTGTGTGTGTGTGTGTGTGTATTAGGGCTGTCAATTAATCACAGTTAACTCACACAATTAACTCAAAAAATTAATCGTGATTAATTGCACTGTTAAACGATAGAATACCAATTGAAATGTATTAAATATTGTTGGATGTTTTTCTACATTTTACAATATATTGATTTCTGTTACAACACAATGCAAAGTGTACAGTGCTCACTTTATAGTATTTTTATTACAAATATTTGCATTGTAAACATGATAAACAAAAGAAATAGTATTTTTCAGTTCACCTCATACAAGTACTGTAATGCAATCTCTTTATCGTGAAAGTGTAACTTACAAATGTAGGGTTTTTTGGTTACATAACTGCACTCAAAAACAAAACAATTTAAAACTTTAGAGCCTACAAGTCCACTCAGTCCTACTTCTTGTTCAGCCAATCGCTAAGACAAATAAGCTTGTTCACGTTTACAGGAGATAATGCTGCCTGCTTCTTATTTACAATGTCACCTGAAAGTGAGAACAGGCGTTCGCATGGCATTTTTGTAGCTGGTGGTGCAAGGTATTTATGTGCCAGATATGCTAAACATTTGTATACCGCTTCATGCTTCGGCCACCATTCCAGAGGACATGCATTATCTCCTGGCAGCATTATCTCCTGCAAATTGTAATCTAACTTGTTTGTCTGAGTGATTGGTTGAACTAGAAGTAGGACTGAGTGGACTTGTAGGCTCTAAAGTTTCACATTGCTTTATTTTTGAATGCAGATATTTTTTGTACATAATTCTACATTTGTAACTTTCATGATAAAGAGATTGCATTACAGTACTTGTTAGGTTAATTGAAAAATACTATTTCCTTTGTTTTTTACAGTGCAAGTATTTGTAATCAAAAATAAATATAAAGTGAGCACTGTACACTTTGTATTCTGTGTTGTAATTGAAAATGTAGAAAACATCCAAAAATATTTAAATGGTATTTTTTAATCGGGCGATTAATCACGATTTTTTTTTTAAATCACTTGACAGCCCTAATATATATATGGTATTTGCCATTAAGAAGTCAACATTTGGAAATTAAAAGTAAGGTAGATTTTTTTTTTCCAGGTTTGGAAGATTACTTATTTTCTCCTCTAACACTTTTACTCCAGAACATGAAATTAAGTATACACATTTCATGTTTTGTTCTGAAGGATATTGCTTTTTGTACTTCTGCACAGTGTCATTATTAGAATTCTCCTAGCGCATTTTATTAAATGGTATATTTCAAGGAATAAGCTGATCTTTGCATAAAGGTTCAGTGAAAGTACACTGAAGGTTTTCAAAGGAGTCTAAGGTAATTAAGTGTCCATATCCCACTGAAGTCAGCTGATACCCTGACAAAGCCTTCGGACAGCTTGAATGATTTCTGCTCATTATGAAATGAGTTCCAAGTTTAAATTTACCTAAGCCTAAGCCTTTGTAAAGGATGGAGCTGCATGCTACACAGGACTGTCAGTCATAGTGTGATAGTGACATCTTGTGGTGATATAAAAGAATTACAATTGTATTCCCTATGTATTTCTTTAACTGTTAATATAAGCTACAAGGTAGGTGAGGTAATATCTTTTACCAGTGTATAAGCAACAGACTGACAAATAAAAATCTTCTATATTCTCCTAAATTTGCTTCATTCATTGAAGATATTATCTCCCAAGTCACAGTTATAAATATCAAAGTCAAATATAAACTGCTTCATTTCACACTTACATCAAGAAGTAGCATTGTTCCTTTTTTCCCCTTTTGACTACCAAGTAAATTTCATGTCATTCTAGCTATGTATGTGTCTGGAACACACCTTAGGAAGGGTCACGGCCCAGACTTGAATGAGAAGGCACTATACCTGTTTTTAATTTATGTTACATTTAGTCATGTCTGCCTTTAAACTATTTTAAGATGACCTGAAAGTATTTTATATAGACTGGTATATGTAGCTGACATGTTTACTACTTTATTGCACGGTGGAAAAATCGTTGATGATATCAATGTGGATTTAAGACTGTCCATCAAGAAACAGTTGCATGCTGGTAGCTTGTTGATGCCATCGATGACCATCCTAAAGACCCTCTGTGTTCGGGCCCTCTTTAAAGCCGTCTTTAAGGATACATCTGATTGCTTTCTTCACCAAATGTCACTGTACCTCGTTTTAACGTCTTTGATGTGGTTTGCCTTTAGCATCCTTATTTAAATAAAAAATGCTATATAGGGGAACAAACATAAATATCATGATAGTAACACCCATGAAAAATCTAGTTCAAGTAACTTGCCCAGCCTTGCATAGGAACTCTGCAGCCAAGGCAGGAAGAGAATCCAGTTCTCCAAGGCAACATTCATCTGACTCAACGTTGAGACCATCCTTTCTCTTCTTGCAATCTTCTGCCTCATTCACTGTGTACTTCTAACTTCCGCAACAAATGATGCAGGGGTGCTGTAGATACACCTCTACCCCGATATAACGCTGTCCTCAGGAGCCAAAAATTCTTACCGCGTTATAGGTGAAACCGCGTTATATTGAACTTGCTTTGATCCGCCAGAGCGCTCAGCCCCGCCCCCCCGGAGCGCTGCTTTACCATGTTATATCCGAATTCGTGTTATATCGGGTCACGTTATATCAGGGTAGAGGTGTAATTGTCTTATTCGCTACACAGCCCTGATTCATCCCCAGAGCAGGTGCATCCAGACCACTCAATGCTGAATGAGGCAGGGGTCCTGTGGAAAAAATAGCATGCGATCATATAATTAAAGACTGTACTATAATGCATACACATAAGGCAGTGTTGGCGTTTCCTAACTTTTGAGTGTGTGACTATGCAGCCTTAATGTCCTTTTAATGTATTTGGTTAAATGTAATTTCCTAATTTTTTCAAAAACAAACTGGAAAAACAGAGTTTCTGTCCTGTGGAGTCATATTGATCGCCTGGTTGGGTTATCAGCAGGTTTTAGACGCTTACATCCAGAGCACATACCGGTACCACTTGAGCTAATGTAGTAACTGATAGCAATAGTAGGTGGTTATATTCTGTGTGGGCCAGCCACTAGAGGAGGATGGAAAAACACACTTTTTCAGTGGTCTTCAGATCTATTTGCTGACAACAGAAGAATGTAGCGATTTAGGACTCTTGAGTTCTATTCCAGGTTCTGGAGGGGAGTATTTTCTAGTAGTTGTAGACTCTGCTGCCCCTGTGACCCCAGTCTGCCCTTGTCCCTATCTGCTGCTGCCTCCCACAACCTACTCACTGATTTCTATCCTCTTCCCATTCTGCTATGCCCCCATCCCCATGGCTTTTCCCCACCATTTGGCTTCTTCCCTACCCTCTGACTTATGCACCCTCCTCCCCATCTATCCCTCCATCCCCATTTCTCACTACTCAGTGGGTGGAAATACTGGGTGCACAGCTTCTGCTCTCACCCTTGTGCATGTATTTGGGATGCAGGAAGCCTAATGCAGGTGAGGTGGAAGTCTTTCTCCCCTGCATGGTTATGTTACTGTGACTCAAAATCTGCCCCATAATGTTCAGAACATATTCATTTTGCTTAATTATTCTGCAGACTCTGGAAAAGAAAATAACTGAGTGGAAGCTTCAAATTGGAAAACACAAGCACCAAATTTTAGCTGTAAAGGAAACAAATGAGCAAAAGAAGAAAGCTCTGAAAAAAGCAACCAGAGCCCAGAAACAAAGAGCTGAATGTTTTGAAGCATCCATTGAAAAACTAACTTCCAAAATTAGAAAGAGGGTAAGTGGCTGTGTTGATATAATCAAATGTTTTTTAAAATAATCAAGTATTGTTTAAAATAATAAGTGCAATCAAACATTAAGATTGCCTCATCGTTGGAGAACAGTAATGACCAACTGAGCATACTGTACTCTGGATTGGTACATTTTAATTTGTTCCACTTTAGAAAAGGGTAATTTAAAATCAGTGATCCAAAAGCAATTGCTAGATAAGATGCATGAACTTTAAGGTCAGAAGGGACCATCATGATCATCTAGTCTTTATTTTGTTTACAAGATTAAAAAGTCAGTTTAGTGAATGACTTGGACCATGTGGTTGTACACTTTGTAATTTTGCTCTACGGGGTCTGGTCTCCTTTCAGTATGGTATATGCCAGTTAATGCTACTAGGAGTCATGCACATTAATCCCTAAATATCATTGAGAAGCTTGTTCCCTTACATTCATAGGTGGGCTCCGATCCTGCAGTTTGAGCTGTGTGGATAGACATTGAAGTTAATGGGCACAAGTGTCCACTCACACAGGCTAGGTCTACACTACCCGCCTGAATCGGCAGGTAGAAATCGACCTC